CAGTTAGGACCACAGTCAAAATCCCCTCTCGATTCCCCCAATGAACGAGAGGTCCACAAATTGAGCGATCAAACCTTCCTACAGTTAGGATTGTCTCAAAACACCCACTTGGTCAAACCTTCTTACAGTTAGGACCACAGTCAAAATCCCCTCTCGATTCCCCCAATGAACGAGAGGTCCACAAATTGAGCGATCAAACCTTCCTACAGTTAGGATTGTCTCAAAACACCCACTTGGTCAAACCTTCTTACAGTTAGGACCACAGTCAAAATCCCCTCTCGATTCCCCCAATGAACGAGAGGTCCACAAATTGAGCGATCAAACCTTCCTACAGTTAGGATTGTCTCAAAACACCCACTTGGTCAAACCTTCTTACAGTTAGGACCACAGTCAAAATCCCCTCTCGATTCCCCCAATGAACGAGAGGTCCACAAATTGAGCGATCAAACCTTCCTACAGTTAGGATTGTCTCAAAACACCCACTTGGTCAAACCTTCTTACAGTTAGGACCACAGTCAAAATCCCCTCTCGATTCCCCCAATGAACGAGAGGTCCACAAATTGAGCGATCAAACCTTCCTACAGTTAGGATTGTCTCAAAACACCCACTTGGTCAAACCTTCTTACAGTTAGGACCACAGTCAAAATCCCCTCTCGATTCCCCCAATGAACGAGAGGTCCACAAATTGAGCGATCAAACCTTCCTACAGTTAGGATTGTCTCAAAACACCCACTTGGTCAAACCTTCTTACAGTTAGGACCACAGTCAAAATCCCCTCTCGATTCCCCCAATGAACGAGAGGTCCACAAATTGAGCGATCAAACCTTCCTACAGTTAGGATTGTCTCAAAACACCCACTTGGTCAAACCTTCTTACAGTTAGGACCACAGTCAAAATCCCCTCTCGATTCCCCCAATGAACGAGAGGTCCACAAATTGAGCGATCAAACCTTCCTACAGTTAGGATTGTCTCAAAACACCCACTTGGTCAAACCTTCTTACAGTTAGGACCACAGTCAAAATCCCCTCTCGATTCCCCCAATGAACGAGAGGTCCACAAATTGAGCGATCAAACCTTCCTACAGTTAGGATTGTCTCAAAACACCCACTTGGTCAAACCTTCTTACAGTTAGGACCACAGTCAAAATCCCCTCTCGATTCCCCCAATGAACGAGAGGTCCACAAATTGAGCGATCAAACCTTCCTACAGTTAGGATTGTCTCAAAACACCCACTTGGTCAAACCTTCTTACAGTTAGGACCACAGTCAAAATCCCCTCTCGATTCCCCCAATGAACGAGAGGTCCACAAATTGAGCGATCAAACCTTCCTACAGTTAGGATTGTCTCAAAACACCCACTTGGTCAAACCTTCTTACAGTTAGGACCACAGTCAAAATCCCCTCTCGATTCCCCCAATGAACGAGAGGTCCACAAATTGAGCGATCAAACCTTCCTACAGTTAGGATTGTCTCAAAACACCCACTTGGTCAAACCTTCTTACAGTTAGGACCACAGTCAAAATCCCCTCTCGATTCCCCCAATGAACGAGAGGTCCACAAATTGAGCGATCAAACCTTCCTACAGTTAGGATTGTCTCAAAACACCCACTTGGTCAAACCTTCTTACAGTTAGGACCACAGTCAAAATCCCCTCTCGATTCCCCCAATGAACGAGAGGTCCACAAATTGAGCGATCAAACCTTCCTACAGTTAGGATTGTCTCAAAACACCCACTTGGTCAAACCTTCTTACAGTTAGGACCACAGTCAAAATCCCCTCTCGATTCCCCCAATGAACGAGAGGTCCACAAATTGAGCGATCAAACCTTCCTACAGTTAGGATTGTCTCAAAACACCCACTTGGTCAAACCTTCTTACAGTTAGGACCACAGTCAAAATCCCCTCTCGATTCCCCCAATGAACGAGAGGTCCACAAATTGAGCGATCAAACCTTCCTACAGTTAGGATTGTCTCAAAACACCCACTTGGTCAAACCTTCTTACAGTTAGGACCACAGTCAAAATCCCCTCTCGATTCCCCCAATGAACGAGAGGTCCACAAATTGAGCGATCAAACCTTCCTACAGTTAGGATTGTCTCAAAACACCCACTTGGTCAAACCTTCTTACAGTTAGGACCACAGTCAAAATCCCCTCTCGATTCCCCCAATGAACGAGAGGTCCACAAATTGAGCGATCAAACCTTCCTACAGTTAGGATTGTCTCAAAACACCCACTTGGTCAAACCTTCTTACAGTTAGGACCACAGTCAAAATCCCCTCTCGATTCCCCCAATGAACGAGAGGTCCACAAATTGAGCGATCAAACCTTCCTACAGTTAGGATTGTCTCAAAACACCCACTTGGTCAAACCTTCTTACAGTTAGGACCACAGTCAAAATCCCCTCTCGATTCCCCCAATGAACGAGAGGTCCACAAATTGAGCGATCAAACCTTCCTACAGTTAGGATTGTCTCAAAACACCCACTTGGTCAAACCTTCTTACAGTTAGGACCACAGTCAAAATCCCCTCTCGATTCCCCCAATGAACGAGAGGTCCACAAATTGAGCGATCAAACCTTCCTACAGTTAGGATTGTCTCAAAACACCCACTTGGTCAAACCTTCTTACAGTTAGGACCACAGTCAAAATCCCCTCTCGATTCCCCCAATGAACGAGAGGTCCACAAATTGAGCGATCAAACCTTCCTACAGTTAGGATTGTCTCAAAACACCCACTTGGTCAAACCTTCTTACAGTTAGGACCACAGTCAAAATCCCCTCTCGATTCCCCCAATGAACGAGAGGTCCACAAATTGAGCGATCAAACCTTCCTACAGTTAGGATTGTCTCAAAACACCCACTTGGTCAAACCTTCTTACAGTTAGGACCACAGTCAAAATCCCCTCTCGATTCCCCCAATGAACGAGAGGTCCACAAATTGAGCGATCAAACCTTCCTACAGTTAGGATTGTCTCAAAACACCCACTTGGTCAAACCTTCTTACAGTTAGGACCACAGTCAAAATCCCCTCTCGATTCCCCCAATGAACGAGAGGTCCACAAATTGAGCGATCAAACCTTCCTACAGTTAGGATTGTCTCAAAACACCCACTTGGTCAAACCTTCTTACAGTTAGGACCACAGTCAAAATCCCCTCTCGATTCCCCCAATGAACGAGAGGTCCACAAATTGAGCGATCAAACCTTCCTACAGTTAGGATTGTCTCAAAACACCCACTTGGTCAAACCTTCTTACAGTTAGGACCACAGTCAAAATCCCCTCTCGATTCCCCCAATGAACGAGAGGTCCACAAATTGAGCGATCAAACCTTCCTACAGTTAGGATTGTCTCAAAACACCCACTTGGTCAAACCTTCTTACAGTTAGGACCACAGTCAAAATCCCCTCTCGATTCCCCCAATGAACGAGAGGTCCACAAATTGAGCGATCAAACCTTCCTACAGTTAGGATTGTCTCAAAACACCCACTTGGTCAAACCTTCTTACAGTTAGGACCACAGTCAAAATCCCCTCTCGATTCCCCCAATGAACGAGAGGTCCACAAATTGAGCGATCAAACCTTCCTACAGTTAGGATTGTCTCAAAACACCCACTTGGTCAAACCTTCTTACAGTTAGGACCACAGTCAAAATCCCCTCTCGATTCCCCCAATGAACGAGAGGTCCACAAATTGAGCGATCAAACCTTCCTACAGTTAGGATTGTCTCAAAACACCCACTTGGTCAAACCTTCTTACAGTTAGGACCACAGTCAAAATCCCCTCTCGATTCCCCCAATGAACGAGAGGTCCACAAATTGAGCGATCAAACCTTCCTACAGTTAGGATTGTCTCAAAACACCCACTTGGTCAAACCTTCTTACAGTTAGGACCACAGTCAAAATCCCCTCTCGATTCCCCCAATGAACGAGAGGTCCACAAATTGAGCGATCAAACCTTCCTACAGTTAGGATTGTCTCAAAACACCCACTTGGTCAAACCTTCTTACAGTTAGGACCACAGTCAAAATCCCCTCTCGATTCCCCCAATGAACGAGAGGTCCACAAATTGAGCGATCAAACCTTCCTACAGTTAGGATTGTCTCAAAACACCCACTTGGTCAAACCTTCTTACAGTTAGGACCACAGTCAAAATCCCCTCTCGATTCCCCCAATGAACGAGAGGTCCACAAATTGAGCGATCAAACCTTCCTACAGTTAGGATTGTCTCAAAACACCCACTTGGTCAAACCTTCTTACAGTTAGGACCACAGTCAAAATCCCCTCTCGATTCCCCCAATGAACGAGAGGTCCACAAATTGAGCGATCAAACCTTCCTACAGTTAGGATTGTCTCAAAACACCCACTTGGTCAAACCTTCTTACAGTTAGGACCACAGTCAAAATCCCCTCTCGATTCCCCCAATGAACGAGAGGTCCACAAATTGAGCGATCAAACCTTCCTACAGTTAGGATTGTCTCAAAACACCCACTTGGTCAAACCTTCTTACAGTTAGGACCACAGTCAAAATCCCCTCTCGATTCCCCCAATGAACGAGAGGTCCACAAATTGAGCGATCAAACCTTCCTACAGTTAGGATTGTCTCAAAACACCCACTTGGTCAAACCTTCTTAGGTCCTAATGGATTCACTCAGCTGAGCGGGGGTGTTTTCCATTGGCTTCTTTCCATCAGGCCAGGCTACCTGATCTTCCGACAAGGCGTCAAATGCTTCATCGAGCCTTACCAACCCTATAGGTTCGCTCGCCAATTTGGGTATGATCAGTTGTACGTCGGGAACCCTCGTCCTCAACTTTCAGTCATAGGCAATTTATATGAAGGAGCCAGGGCTTGGTATTATTCTGTAGCAGGCTGTACCAAAGCCGTCTTCAAGCTTCCCCACAAAACTGCTAACTCCTATACTTCCATCAGCTTCTGTAATTGGTATTACGCCGCTTCTCAGACTCCCAACTATAACTTGAATACATCTTGCCTGAAAGACATTAGGCATATGTATAATTTAAGGAAGGGGTCCAAGACATCCCGCTTGAAAGGGATCGATGAGTTTCTGTCCATCGAGAATCAATCTGCTGGACAGGAAGAGGAACAGACAGCTGAGCCTGCTCCAGGGGAAGAGCAACGAGTGGTTGATCCTCCCGTGACAAGGGCAGCGGGGAAAAGGAAACTCTCTGCAGATGAAGCCGGCCAGTATGATAAGCAGATCCGTCGGAAACTGCTGGTGGATTCTCCCCCCAAAGGCCAACAAAAGTCCAAGTTTATGGCTGATGCCCTCAAAGCAGCTGAAGATGACGAACCACAGGAATCATCTGTGGCTGGCCTGCCACATAGAGCGGGACTTCGTTCTCATGGCCCAGCTCTATCGGGCGAAGTTTCTTCTTATCATCCTCCCGAGGACGAAGAAGATGAATTAATGGCTGCAGATGCAGAGTCTGCTCCGGTGATGGATCTTCCTAGGTCTCCTGCATTGGAACCAGGGGGTCTTGAAGATAATCCATCTCCTTCTCCTTCAGCATTAATATCACAAGCTGGTGATTTAATGCCTAGTCCTACAACGGGACCTATGAAAAGACCAGCTGCAGGTGCAAGTCTCCCTGAGCCCTCAGCTACCCGGGATGATGAGGAGCGAGTTGATTATGAAGACTCCTCGATTGGTGATGCAGCTGACGAAGATAGAGGTGATGAGGATGCTGACGCTGGCAACATGTCTGGTGGTGGTGAAGACGATGAAGAGCATGATTCCATAGATGACATCACCACTTTTGATGATGCTCCTAAGGTTCCCTCTGATAAAGTATCTGGTTATACACCGTTTCACATCTCCGGTAAGCCTAGTTTTCTTCGCTTTATCCCGCATGTGTTTTCTGCGTTCCGACCATTTTTTCGTGCAGGTTCACCTTCTCCAGGGACTACTGCTACTGCTGCTTCTGAGCCAGAACCTGCTCAGGTGTCGGCTCCTTTAGAAGAGCAACATTTACCTGGCTCTCCTACGGCAACT